TTACTGGCGACGGACCTTGCAATTTTGAAGCTCGGTTAAGTGACGAGGACCATACCTGAGCTGATACCCCCTTTCCAAACTACCTCACCCCACCAATGGGATGACTTTGAACACAGATTTAACGTGCATCTGTCCTCTCTCCAAGACTCGTCTTCAGTGGCACCAGGATCACACCGTGTGTCACGCCGACCACAAGTTCGGGATCATAACCACTAGGTAACCAAGGCCACAATAAAATGTCAGGGGATAGTTCTAATGCAACACATATAATCTGGATATGTCTATTTTCGTTAACGCCCGAGATTTCTTGTTCTGTTTTCATTTCTGAAATTTTAGTTGGGTCATGGATTTGGACAAGTATTTTCAGAATCCACGTGACACAATATTTTGAGACAATTTGCTATAACTGAGACAGTAACATCAACTATATTAGTTTTTACATACCCTTCTTGGGAACAGGAACAACACCTGTAAACATGCGAGCTCTAGTGCGTGTCTGTTTGAGATTTCTCGGGTTACTACTTCCATATGGCTGAATCTTGACCTTCCCCTTAAAATTTATGGGTAGCAAATATCTTGCGGTCTTCCGCTTACGGACCATATGCATATTTTTAGGTCCATTTGTTGGAATGTGAAAGCGCCACTCAAGAAATCAGTTGCTCAAGTGTGATTTGCTGTAGCTTCTTGTGTAGCTTCGAGTAACTGAACAGTGTGACCTTAATATTCACTCACTCATTCCTCAGACTCCCTTCCAGACTATCCACTGAAATTGTGGCGCTTTCTGCGTCGTATGTGGCCCGGACATCCAAGATCACTTAAATTCCACTCTTAGGGGGGGAGGGCTTATAATACATACATTTTCATCTGAATAAGTTAGCCTACTGCGTACTTGGCTACTTTCAAATTCTTTGTCACACTATTCCTAAAGATCATAGAGGCAACATAATACGGAAATATTTTTTACTAACATATCAGAGTTATAAATAAATTATTTAAAAATTTCTTTTATTTCTTTTATTTTTTATTTTTATTTCCAAGAGTGGATTACAAGACACCTACAAACAAAATGAGAAACAGAGAATACTGACAAAAACAAGGAACAATAACAACAAAAAAATAAGAAAAGAAACACAAGTCCACAGTAGCCTATAAATCAAACATTTTGCGTCTGGCCTCCCAATATCTGCTGTGGCCGCGGTAGCCGAGTGGTATAGGTATCGGACTGTGGCTTGCTTTGTCACGGGTTCGAGCCCAGTACCACTAAAGACCCGCCGTGTAGGGCAGCGATTCACGTTAAATCTGTCGAGAGCTGAAACGTCCTCCCGTTGGTGTGGTGTGGTAGTTAGGAGAGGGGGTGCCAGCTCAGGTGTCGTCCACGTCACTTGACCATGGTTCAAAATTACTTGGTCCGTCGCCAAAAGCCCTCGTGTAGCTGAACAGTGCGACGTTAATATTCAATCAATCAATCAACCCAATATCTGCTTCCCATGGATCAAGAGCTGAGTGCACGGCAGCTTGCCAAATGAATGGTGCCCATTTCTTCATTGGAGTCTTACAGTTTACAAAGGGGACTCTGGGCAATGCCTATCATGTTGACAGGCAGTAGTAGCCAATGGCGATTGGAAAATCGGCCACAGTTCTATATCGTGGCCATTTTGGAATATGAAGAAGTTTGTTAAACCTCACTTTTTGATTTTTTTTTTTTTTTGGTTCAATTTAAACCAGAAGTGGTAGTATTTCTGACCAGAAGTGGTAGTCTGTAGTATTTCTTTATGATTTTTTTGGCATTTTTTTAAAAGTAAAATCGTACATTAATTTCACTTGAATGGAAATACTATTGAATATATTTCTAAGACACACACACACACACACATTATAAATTACCTTTTCACACGATTTTAGATTTTTCACAATATTTCTTTAACTATAAATAGAAATATTTTACTTTATTTCATAAAGAAAAGGAATAAAAGATGAAATATAAGCCAATTTAAAAATTTGGATTTAAAATTTTCAATGAAAAAAAGCATAATTTCTTCCCCCCCCCTCTCGAAATAAAAAAAAAAGAAACGAGCCTTACAGTAGTCGCATATGATGTGTAACATCTGACATGTTATCGTGGTATAAATACGCAATAGTAACTTAAATCCTGAAAAAAATGAATCAAGTATGATTGGAAATAATTTTCTATCGAATAATTATATCTTTAATGAAATTTTTATTTATTTAGCACAAGGAGTAATGCAGTTTTTTATTAAAAAATATTTATTCTTGTTCAATTTGGGGAAGAGTGGATACAATAGACTTGAAAATTGACAAACAGGGATTTCGGTGGCCATATATATTTCTCCGAATAAAACGGTTAAAAAAATTTAAGATTTCCTACATTTTGATCTTTTACCATATACCGAAGATGGCTCTGCTCTTTTAAAAACAAGCTATCACTCGCTTCGTATGATTTTGAGTGTGATTGAATCGATTGAGATTGAATTGAGTTTTGAATCAAATATGATTGGAAATATTTCTATCAAATAATTATATCTTTAATAAAAAATTTGTTTAGAAGTAATGCTATTTTTTATCAAAAATATTTATTCTTGTTCAATTTGGGGAAGAGCGGGGATAATAAACTTATGATAAGTAAAATATAACACAAATATTTGCGATTTCAAAATATTTAAAAACCGTTGAAAAACAGCGTCAATAACAGTACCACTGTTAATTGTAAAATGTTTCGATTTGTATTCATTTCGATCTTTAGTTCAACAGTCAAAAAAGCTATGAGTGGCTCAGCTTCTGGCAAACTGAAGTTAACGTTGAAATCACCACTCAAAATCATGGGAAGCGAGTAATAGTATGTTTTTTAAAGAGCAGAATCATCTTCGGTATATGGTAAAAGTACAAAATGCAAGAAATCTTTAATTTTTTAAACCGTTTGATTGGGAGAAATATACCCGTCCACCGAAATCACTGTTTGCCCATTTTCAAATATGCATTCCGCCATACATATGTCCCCAATACCTTGACTACAATACCCAGTCCATTTGTTTGACGATAAATAATGTTCATGTGAGGAGTCACAACATGTGAGTTGTTCTGTTTGAGATAGAACGCAACACCAGCTGCTCTGCAGCCCGGTCGTTTAAATTGTACGCAGCAATCGAAGTTGGGTATCGAAATATGTTCGTCGTTATCGAACCACGTCTCGGCCGACATGAGTATCGTACAATTTTGCGAAATAACGTCGTCGAAATCTGCTTGGTGAGCCCCGAGACTTTGAAAATTGAGCGTAAGGATCGCAAGTTTATCCTGGATGAAGTCTAATAAGACTTGCTGGTTTGTACGAAGTGGATTTAGAGTCAAGCGCTCGAGTTCAGCTCGCAGTGGATCTGTAGTAGCCGAATATTTTTGTCCATGGTAAAATACATGGTCTTGAGTAGGTGATACTATAAAAAGTCCTTTGAGGCTTGTAACTTGTGATAATGCGACGTAGACGAGGTGTTGTTGATGAGAATTTTCATAAGAATAAACAATACGATCGAATGTTCCACCCTGTGATTTGTGGAGAGTCATGGCACAAGCAGGCGTAAGGGAAAAGGAATTCTTAGATTGGTAAATGTTTAAAATTAGAAATATTAGAGAAAATCAAAATTACTCATGTAATTAATTAGTTTTTTTAATAGAGAAAACGTTTTTAATCACAATTAAAAATATTACATTGACAGCGACAGGAATTAACCTCAAAGTATGAAGAAGATGCGCACTAAAATATTTATTCGAATAATTCCATATTACTTACTCGCATATTCTTAAGAATGTTGAACTTTGTCAGACGCTTAACAGTAAATATAATTATTAATATAATTTACACATATAAATTAACCTCAAATTTCTTACACAACGAGTCCTGAGACTTTAACAATTGAGCATAAGGTTCGTAAGTTCATCCTGAATAAGAATTCGAATTTTTGAAATGCTAACTTTAACAATATAAAAAAAAAAATTACTAGAGTTGGACCCGATGCGAGGGTTGTGAATAGACACCATCATGCGTATTGGACCCTGATGCGAGGGTAACGAAGAGACACCATCACGTGCGCTCATTGGTCAAATCAAATAGCGCGCGTTTACGTCACTTCCTGTTACCCACTTCCATCCCTTTTCACGAAATCACTCCTACAAAATTCGGCAATCGAGAGGAAAGATGTTACACATTAATAATTTTTTTGAAAACTGTTTCCTCACACACATAATCAATTTGAATTTCTTTTCCTCCAAATAAAATTCAAAGTTGCTAATTTTGGAGCGTTTTTGCATTTTTTATTACAATATCACAATTTATAATTTTAATTTCTGTATAAGATGGAATAGAGAGAGTGTTCTATTTATAACTTTTAAAGTGTTTGTTTGAAGTTAAAAAAGTTACTGAAACTGCCTGAACATTCCAAATATTTTCCACTTTTCTGTTCAATTTAAAAAGTTTGTAAAGTATATCGTGCTCTAACATAATAATCAATAATCGAAAAGCACATATCAATCAAATTGTCAACCTTTTCTGAAGAAACTGTCACTGGATAAGCTAATCACAGTAATTAGGGAAGATGGACTGATTCAAAAAAATAGTAGACCGATCAAAGAAAAGAGTAATGTGACGACTTTTTCGAATTCTTTTTTTAAACTATTGAAAACGTGTTTATTGGACGATGGAATTGGGATTTTATAGAAATACATGTAACAAGTAATACAAAAAAATTAAGTAAATCCCTACTTAGGTCAACAAAGAATCATTTTATTTTAGTTACTTTTTATTAAATAGTTACAATTAATATAAATATGTATATATGCATATGACACTATTAAGTGACAAAATAGAAAGCGATTTTCCACGCAATTTTCCTTATATGTTGTAGTTTGCTCGTTACTATTTATTCATTAATTAAATTTTATTATTCTAACGAAATAGTACAATAAAAGAGAAATCACGTTCTCAGAAATTAGGACACCCCAGGTGGGATGGATTCAAACCCACGACATTTGTATTAGAAGTCCAACTCACTAAGCATTGTGCTACAGGGACGCAAAGAACGATTTTCTTTTCTATAAATGCTGTTGGAGTACTATTTTTGTTTGTTACTATTTATTCATTTTTTAATTTAATTAATAAATTAATATTTGAAAAAAAATATATTAAAATCAAGTGTCATCCACTACAAGTTTAAAAAAAAGTATTTGAACTTGAATGGATGAATAGAAAGTGTTTAAACAATGAATGAAAATTTGAACAATATATATATATATATATATATATATATATATATATATATATATATATATATATATATATATATATATATATATATATAGGGAGAGAGTGAATTAATAGTTAGGATTGAAAAAGTGTTTTCAGAAGTGACATGAAACAAATCATCGTATACGATTTTATTATGCTTGAAGACCAAACTCAATGCTTTCATTTTATTTCAAGCACGATTGCAAAAATTTCCTTTTCGGGCAAATATCCACTTGCCATGTAATGTTGAGAAAATAATGCAATTTGAGAAAAAATAATAATTGTTCTTCATTCTATTATAACTTTAAAAAAATTATATACAGGAGGGTCATCCAGAAAATAAAAAGCTTAGTGATAAAAAAATGAAAGACAATATTTATCGGAAAAAACAATTCCTAAAGCTTCCTTCTTTCATCACTTTCTGCATTTAAACATTTGTTGTATCCATTCACGAGCTTCAGAATGGCTATGTTATACTCTTCTGCCGCCAATGCATTAAGCCATGTGTTCAATGAATGTCTTTATCATGAGATTCTATGTAAATTTCGTCCAGCCATCCTAAACAGGAAGTGAAGAATGTTTCGTGAAGCAAGTGTGCTTCTTCACAATACCCGCCCTCACACTGCAGTTGCAACTCAAGAACTGCTGGATCAATTCAGATGTGACATTCTTGATCATCCACCCTATAGCTCTGACCTTGCTCCTAACAGGGCCAGCTGTAGCGGTTTTGCCGTCCCGGACAAAAATGGAAAATGCCACCCCTCTCCCCAAAGCAAAATAAATAAATAAATAAAATAATTATAATTAAAAGAGATAAATTGTTCAATTAAATACACGCTTATAAAACTATATACATATATACAATCGAACCTCTTTATTGCTCTATATAGCGAACTTTTTCCTGGAATCTTGAACATTTCATGATTTTCTTCGTAAAATAACTTCTCTATAACGAAGTGCATTTTCAGTATAACGAACTTTTTCTTTTATGATTCAATTTTTGTTCTCCCTTTTTTAAAGTATTCCTGAAAAAATTTCAAGGTATTCTCTTCTTAACACATTTTATGGTGGTCATGAATCTTGAACTGGTTTTATTAGATCATAACTCGCCGAGAATAATAGAGCTCTGGACGTTTCATCCAAGTGCAACCTGAAACCCCCATTGTCCAGTTCACTAGAAACATCTTCGATATCCTCTTTCACCCCCATTGGAGTTGACCCTTGTCCCCGTGCTCTAATTACAAAATAATGCATGTTTAATATTACTTGTAAGCTTTAAATCATAAAATGTCCTTAAAATTCATTAATTTTAGTATAAAATTATTTTCTTAAATATTTAAAATACAGTGAATTATTCGACATTCTTTTTTCTTCTTTTCCTTGCAGTTTTTCTTTCTTCCTTTCTTTTTTGATGGGTAAGATATATAAAATAAACATATATTAATTTTGAAAAAAAGGTGTGAATAATTAATTTTTTTAATATATAGTGTTTATGAATTTAAAGTTTGTTTTATGTGGTTTATAAAGTATATTAAAAAAATGAGCCTCTATGTAACGAATTTTCCATATAACGAACTTTTTCCGGGATTTAGCGATTTGGTTATATGGAGGTTCGACTATATATATATATATATATATATATATATATTATTTTATATATATATATTATTTTAAGTCTTACAAAATACAAAATAATTCGGAATTAAGCACGTAATTACCTGTTATTATTTCAAACGAGTAAAATATAAGAATAAGAATCACCCATTTCAGCATTTCAATTACTTCGATAAAGAGTCTACTGATGGTGAGGATCACAAGCACTTGTTTAAACTTACAGTACCTACTCTCAAGGCTAAAATAAAACATCTCCTATGACTCTATCTACCAAAAACCCTTATTAGCTCTGTTCCCTTTTGGATAGCTGACCCCAAACATCGCATGTTTGAAAGAAATGTCCGTTGTGACCCCGCTCCTAAAAGGGGAGAAAGCTATTTTAGTGCAGTGTTTCTCAAACTTTCACGACCCAATTTTCAATCATAATTTTTCTCGCCCCCCTGTACAACAATAATGTATTCACTGCAATAAAAATGCACTTTGAGAAAGAGACGCTAAAGTTACAATACGATTTTAATTATAAACCGTACAAATTAATACGATAAGTATATTAAATTTTGTATACGTAACTTTTAAGTAGTATATATTTTAAGAATTTTTTTTTCACTTAAAATATATATTACTTATTTTATTATGTTCTTTTTCTTTCTCTAATTTTTAAATTGTAACAGATCGCAAAGTGATATATTTAATTAAAGGTTTATTTCCTTCAGCATCCATTTCTCAAAGTACAAATGTCATTAGAAAAATAGTCTAGTCTATGTTGCTCTCTATCATATCCATCACATCTGGCATTATCGGGTACGTTTGTGTGAGTCTGGGCAACCTATCGGATGTCTGCGCAAAACATGTAAGAATGCTTTTCCTCGTACAATTCTAGTGAATTTTGGTCGACTTGATACTTATATTGAATCTAGCTTGAATGTACATTTTTTAATTTGCACGTTAATTGTAATTCACGGTAATTAAGTATTTACGGCAGTAGGTTAAAACAAAATCATACATTACATTTTTAAGTCGTAAGCAAACATTCGACGATAATAAAGAATCAACAAGTACACAGACGAGCATGGTTCCGAAAATTAAATCAAGGCAATATTCGCAAAAATACTTAAATTTTGGATTTACCACTACTGAAGTAAATGATGGGAAAAAAGCCCCAGCTCGTTATGTGTTAATACTTACAAATCTGAAGATAAACATGTGAAAGTTGTTTTTAAAACCATGTAAAATCATTTAGCCATGCTGGCAAAGAATTTTAAAAAGTATTTTTTGGATGAGGACAACTTGGTAGCAAGTTACGTGTGGATTAGGGATTTATTTCAAGATACTCCAGAAGGGCTCTCAACTTCCAAACAGGATGTGAAAGAAGATTTCACATCCAGTAAAAAATTAAAAGGCAATTTTGTAATAAATCGCTCTTTGAATTTTGGGTAGAGGTGGATGATGAATTTTCTGTACTGAAAACAAAAGCACTTCGTATACTATTACCATTTTCAACATCCTACCTTTGTTAAACCGGATTTTCTGCGGTGGCTGCTTTGAAGACAAAATATAGATCTCAGCTAAATATAGAAAATAACTCAGAGTGTCAATTTCTGATGTTAAACCTTCCTTTGAAAAAATTTGCTCTTCAAGACAAGCCCATGGAAGTCCCTAATAATTATTAAACTTGTTCTTAATTTAGTATTAAGAAATTATTTATAAAATACCTTCTTCAGTACTGACACATTAAACGTATATTGGCTGAAACACCGGCTCTTCGCACAAGTTCATTTTTTTTAAAAAAAATAAAACATCATTCTTGATATAATAGCTGAACTGTAAGGAAAGTAACACTGCGTGCACGACATTGTATACAAAAATGTAAAATGATTTTTTTTAGATAAATGCTATAATTGTAAATAACTGTTTAAAAGAGAACTGTAATTTTAAACCTCACAGAAATAACATTTAGAATTAATGTTAAGTAATGAAAAAAGAATATAAAATTCCGATGAAGAAAAACTGTGTTACTTTTTAATATTTAAAGCGAGAAGACTTCAAAATGTTTTAACCCGGGAGCAGGCGCGCACTCGATACTAACGCTAAAGGTAGTGCGAGGGGACTCGGTCACCCCAATCATTTGTTTATAATTATTTTTACTGTACACGATACAAATCGGAAAAAAAAAAAAAAAATTCCAGTGAATAATTTAATTAAGAGAAAGTATACTTACCGGCTTTCAAGGAATGTTCAATTTTTCTTTGATGATTTGAGAAAAAATCCAATAAAACTGAACTAAAATGATTCAAAAGTGTAAGACCTTAATAAAGGACGCAAATCAGAGACACTTTTCACTAATATTACAGAAATGTTATTTGCTGGCAAAGCTGTCATATTTTGTTCAAGTTATTGTAGTTTTAATGAGCTTTCATGATCGAGTGAGTGAATATTAAAGTCGCACTGTGTTCAGCTGCACGAGGGCTCTTGGAGACGGACCTCAAAATTTTGAACCATGGTCTAGTGACGAGAATGATACTTGAGCTGGCCTCTTTTAACTACCACACCACTCCAACAAGAGGACGTTTGAGCTTCCGACAGATTTAACGTGCATTTCTCCCTTTCACGGCGGGTCTTTAGTGGTACTGGGCTCGAACTCGTGACACCTTTAGGGCTCAACAAATAGCGAGTTGAACTTTTCTTTCTTGTGTCTTTTTGACAAGGCGAACTGAACTTTGTGGTACACTTATGGCTTCATATTTTAAGTTAATGGAGTTCTTTAGGAACCATTTGAAAATTTTCCTTTCATGTTCATCGCGTTTCTCAGTCATGAATAATATGCATTCTTTCAGCAGGTTCTTCTTTTGCTTGATCAGTTTCAACTTCCTTCAATAGAGATCACAGATGCCCCGCGCCACCGCTCCCGGGTTAAAAGTGTATTCAGAAAAAAATACGGATGATCTAAAAAGAATTATGATATTTTTCACTGTGTTTTATATGTTTGAAAGTACTCATAAAAATATAAATCTTGGCCAAATAATCCTTCAAAAATCAATCAATTATTTTCCAAATATCGTAAAACTTTTTAAAAGGTGTTTTTTTTTTGGAGGTATAGAACTTTAAATTGCAATAAAACAACGATGTATTATTCGATTGACATGAATTTTTTTTATTCGAAAGATAATCTTGTG